AATGTGGTGGAATTCCTATTATGAGTAATGCCACTGTGAACATTGTGTACAAGTTTTTGTGTAGACATATGTTTTCTCCTGGGTGTGAAGTGGTATCTCACCATGATTTCATTTGTATTTCCCTAATGATGAATGGTGTTGAACTCAATATATATTTGTTAAATGCAGGAATAACCAAGTTTCCAGATTAAATAGCTACACCAAATTTTTTACATTATTTTTACATATTTTTTCAAATGAATAGTTGTTTTCTAGTTATAAAAATAGTACATGCTCAAATGATTATCCCAAAAATCAGCGTAGTGGTTATGTTAGGGGGAAGGGAGGGAAAAAGTTATGATTAAGGAAGAGGGGTATAGTGTTATCTAGGGTGATGGTAATGTCTTATTCTTTTTTTTTTTTTTTGATGTCTTATTCTTTTTTTGTTTGTTAATCCTCACCTGAGGATATTTTTCCATTGATTTTTGGAGAGAGTGGAAGGGAGGGGGAGAGACACAGAGAGAGAAATATCAAGGTGAGAGAGACACATCAGTTGGTTGCTTCCTGCATGTGCCCCAACCAGGACCAGGATAGAGCCGGCAACTGAAGTATGTGCCCTTGACCAGAATCGAACCCGGGATCCTTCAGTCCTTGGGCCAACATTCTGTCCACTAAGCCACACAGCTAGGGCTGATGTCTTATTCTTGAATTGGGTCTTAATTACACAGATTCTCTTTATAAGTATTATTTAAGCCAAATGTTATCTGTCACAATAAAAAGATAATATAGCCCTAGCCGGTTTGGCTCAGTGGACAGAACGTCGGCCCACAGACTGTAGGGTCCCAGGTTCGAGTCCAGTTAAGGGCACATGCCTGGGTTGCAGGCTCGATCCCCAGTAGAGGGCGTGCAGGAGGCAGCCGATCAGTGATTCTCTCTCATCATTGATATTTCTATCTCCCTCTCCCTTCCTCTCTGAAATCAATAAAATATATATATTTTTTAAAAAGTAATGTATTCTCATTGTTGAAAACTTGGAAAGCAAATGTTTTGTTTTATTAAAGATAAAGAGCATTGAAATATTTCTACTACGCAAACTCTGAGTGGTAGTTTTAGGGTGGGAGAAAAAAGGACTATTTGGTCCTTGCCGGTCTGGCTCAGTGGATAGCGCATCGGCCTGTGGACTGAAGAGTTCCTGGTTCAATTCCAGTCAAGGGCACAAGCCAGGGTTGCAGGCTTCATCCCCAGTAGCGGGTGTGCAGGAGGCAGCTGATCAATGATTCTCTCTCATCATGGATGTTTCTCTCTCTCTCCTTCTCCCTTCCTCTCTGAAATGAATAAAAACATATTTTTTTTTTAAAAAAAGAATATTTGTTAAGAAATCTTTTTTGAACAAGCCTTTTTTTACCCTTTGTTGGAAGAAACAGATATTATGAAAAGTTGCCAGCAGGTGGCGCAATGAAACAATATTTAACCTCTCAGTCATTTAAAAAAAAAAGGGCAAAACAAAACAAAAACATGAAAAGCAGCCAACATTTCATCTGATCATTGGAAAACATTTTGGTTCATTTCCCACTACCTACAATTTTCCTCCAAAATGAGCCATCATATAAAAGAACCTGGTAAATACGACTATATTGGGGAAACTGTCAAATCTAATTCTTCAAATGCATGGAACAAAAAGAAAAACATAGACATTGGTGCTTTCTCCCTGTTGTTTGACAGAGGGCCTTCAAAATAATAGGATGCCAGAACCCAGGATATAGAGCTTTTTTGTGTCTACAAGAAATGAGGACAGCAAAGGTGTCTAGTAATAAATACATTCCTCCAATATTGTTAGATGACTTTGGAGCTGGATTAGGAAGTATTCAATTTCTAAATCTTTATCAAGCACTTCCACTTATGTCTTGTTGATTATGGCCATTGGAGGTTGGGGAAATTTTAATTACTTAAAAAGCCATTTTAGTCTGGACACCAAGGCAAGAAAGGGATGCTCCTCATCCCTTTCATATCATTTATTTGGGGCAAGGTGGGGATGAGGACTGGAAGATCAGGATGGTGGTGGCAGTGGGAGATTGGTTATATATGGGGAGGACTGATCGAATGAGTAAATATATAAGCATAATGGGAGCCAGGTTTCTCACTGTTGAAGACGTGAATTGTGAATATGGGGAAGGGAGGAAACTAGAATGAAATCTGTGGATTGGAATTGCATATTGGTGTGACATCATGGTTTTAAATATTTATAGATATAAATAAAGGTGTAAATGTGCACAAATATATATTTACATATATCCCCAAGAGAACCAAGAGTGGTGGCATCCATGGTGGTGAAAACACACATCTAGTACCCAGAACTTGGTTTCTAATTACCAGTCTTTGCTAAAAGGAACCAAGAATGACAAAGAAATGGCTGATTCCAAGTTGGAGCAGGGAAGGTGTAAGATGTGCTTGGTGTCAAAAATGTGAGGAAATGCTCTTTAAAAAATGATAGGGGCCTGGCTGGTGTGGCTCAGTGGTTGAGCGTGGACCTCTGATCCAGGAGGTCACGGTTAGATTCCCTGTTAGGGCATATGCCCGGGTTGCGAGCTCGATCCCCAGTGTGGGGCGTGCAGGAGGCAGCCAAGCAATGATTCTCTCTCATCATTGATGTTTATATCTCTCTCTTCCTCTCCCTTCCTCTCTGAAATCAATAAAAATATATTTTTAAAAAATGATGGGGACCTATCAAAAGGACACAGAATCCAGCTTGAAGTGGATCTCAGTGACTAAGTCTATGACCGCTTGAGCATCAAAATAAATAAGTGTAATAATGGATTATAACTCATTGACTAAAATAGAAAAATATGAGTTCTTGCTGATATAAATAAGTGGAAAGTTTGATGAAGAGCAGAATAAAATCTGAATAAAGTCTGGAGCTTAGTTGCTAGGAATACACCTATGTTACTTCGTTTTGAAGAAATTATGGACACAGTCAACGTTAGGGGAAACTGAGTGAAGAGTAGCTGGGTACTTTCTATACTATCTAGGCAGGGTTTTGTTTTGTAAATCTGAAAATATCCCTAAATAAATATATTAAAAAAAACACCCAAACATATAAAGTCAGTGCTTTCTGGTGCTTACATTTTGCCACTTTACATCATTCATTGCATTTAATCCTCACAACAATCCCACCAGAGCGACTCCCAGTTTACAGAGAAGGTGAATTAGGTTCTCAGGATCCTGTACTCAGCAGGTGGTAGAACTGAGATTTGAGCTCAGGTCTGTCTGACTGGGCCAAATAAATCACACAGCCCCATCTAGCCCCAGATAGGTCCAGTAAGCAAATAACTGAATAAGGACATAAAGGACATCTTGATACCTGAAGCGTAAACAGTAAGCAAATGAAATTTAATAGATAATGCTTGCTGTTTCCATTACATTCTGCACCCACGAACAGCAAAACAGGTGTTTAAAATTTCTTTCAAACACCTGCACAACATTTCAGGAAATAAAAATTCCATCAATTGACATGATTAACTTTTTCTGTTATACTAAATTCGCCCAATCTTTTTCAGGGTACACCAATGATCGTATAGCTTTAACCAGTATACATACTGATTATTTGGGGTTCTGATTTTTTACTTACCATGATTTCATATACTTGTTTACAGGCATGCATTTAGTTCCCATAATGATCATTTAAACAGCCATATAGTATTACACGAAATGGACAGGATGTAGCTTCTTAACCATCTCCCTGTTGTGGGGCACTTGGGATATTTTCAGTGTGTGGCTCATTGGAAAGTGCTGCTATAAACGTCTTTGCACAAATTGCTTGTTACAATCTTTGGGACTATTTTGAGCAAGGGCATCTGTGGGAAGCAGATGAAGGAAATGCACCTGGAATTTTCTTTTTTTGTTGTTGTTCCACTTATTTATGCATTCATTATTTGATTCTTGTGTATGTCCTGATCCAGGATGAACCCACATTCTTTGTGTATCTGGATGATGCTCTGACCAACTGAGCTACCTGGCCAGAGCCTAAGACCCTGGCATTTTCACTTCTCCTTGGAAAGGTGCTCTTTTTAGAGATTGGCTCTTGGCATCCAGTAATGCAAAAGCAGGAAGAGAAAAAACAGTGGCTGGAGATGGGGGTGAGATAAGAGATGTGACTGGAAAGCTAGGCAGGGTCAGATCTTGAGGGGGAGGGGGATTTGCATTCAGTTAGCTTTGAGGCGGTGGTGTTATTTGAACGACAGAAACAGCTGTCAAGATAGTCACCCAGAGTCTCAGAGGGCAGGAATCTAGGATGTTATTAGTTGCAGTACATGATGACAATGTGAGATGACAGGGCCTTATCTGTGCTTCCCCGCCCTGCTCGGCGACCTTGATGGATAGGCAATGTCAGTTCTAGCATTCCAGGCTGTTGGCTTTGGCTCAGACCAGGTAATGCTAAGGGATGGCGAGCTTTCACGGCCCCTAAATCGCCTCTCTCCCTCTCGACCCCCAGGCACCCCAAATAAACACAATCTGGTTAATCTAAATAAAATAAGTTCTGCAAATGCAGCCTGCGAACAAGTTCCCCAGCCCCAACTAGACGAGAGATCCTGGAGGCGCAAACCCATTCCCCAGGGGCCAGAGGCAGACCAGGCTGGAACCCGCAAAGCTCCTGACGTCCCCGGACCAGCGGCGCCCCGCGGAGGCGGAGCCAGGGGGAGGTGCTTGCGCATGCGCGGAGCCTGCCTCCCGGCGAGGGGGTGGGGCGGGCGCCGGGGCGGGGGCTGTGACGTCAGGTGCGCGCGTGGCTCCGGCTGCGCAGGAACAGCTGGTGCCTCTGAAGACGGCCGGCGAGCGCACGGCCGTGGGGTGCTGGGGGCCCGCCGCGCCACACTGCGGGAGCAGCCGCCGCCGCCTCGCGCCGCTGCACCATGTCCGGCCAGCGGGAGCGTTGCGAGCGCGAGTGGCACGAGCTGGAGGGAGAATTTCAGGAACTGCAGGTAAGGCCGGGCCACCTGGTCCCTCCACTCGGCTACCTGAGCTGCAGTACCTTCCCCTTCCTGCTCCCCCAGCCGGGGCGGTGGGCACCATCAGGGCCCAGGGGTGTCCCTGGCCAGGCCCTGGAGGCTGGTGGTCCGCGTGGACCAGCCCCCTCCATCTCCCAGCACTTCAGTTCTTCCCCCACTTGGGGCGCCCGCTCGAAGCCCCCATCCCGCCGCCCTCGCACCGGCTCTTGGCGCTGAGCACCTCCTTCGCTGCAGAAAGTTGGTCTGTGGCCTCTGAGGGGAAGTTCCAGGCGTGTCCATGTGGGGGAGGCCTGCGGGGACAGGTCTGTGCTGGGACTCGGAGGGAACAGCCCTGCCCCCACCTCCTCAGGGGTCTCCCCTAACCCCACCCTTCGGCTTGTGGCAGCTCAACTGCCCCTCTGTCCTGGGGAGCAGCCCTCCGCTGCGGCTCTGTTGGGAAGATGTGCTTGGGGGACGTTCACCTTGAACCCATCGGCTCTGCTTCGGGACTGGGGTTCCCCGTTCTCCGCCTTCGGGGCGCTGCTGCAGGCTGACTTTGGCGTGGCGGATGGCATCTGTCAGTTATGACAGCTGGGTTGCCTCCCTCAGGAGGGTGAGGGCTGCTTCCTGCCCTCACCCTTCTGGCCCGGAGCCTGAGGAGGGGTGGGCTGGGGGCGGAGGCAAGGGAGGCCCCTTGAGAGAATGGCTTTGTGGCCTGGAGGTCCGGGCAGGGGGATTTGTTCCTGAGTTCTCAGAGGCCTCAGCTACCTACCCCGGTGACTAGAGACGCCCCGAGAAACCTTGGGGTTGGCCACGGGGACCCCTGGACCATTTCTGGAGATGGGGCTGCTCCCGCTGCAGCTACCCTGTTGTGCTTGTTTTCTCAGAGTTAGGCTCTGCTTGCCTGAAGTCCTGTCACGCATCTCCCCGAACTCCTCCTTGTCCTCAGCCTGAGCAATGACATTTCCCCCGAGCATGTAGCCTTTGTCTGCAGTTGGCTGGCCTCTTACAGTGTCCAGAGGAGGGGAGAAGGGATTGCCAAGGGTATTTGTAAGGAGTCCTCCTAGACCTGAGGCAGCAGGTCTGGATGAATAGAGAGAGGGGTGCTGGAGAGACGGGACAGTTTGAGGCATGAGCAGAGGGTAAGGTACCCAGAGCCAAAGCGGTATCCCCTTCTTTCTGGGCTTGTCCAGCGTGTGTGGGTTGGTGCCCTCTCCTTCAGGTCTGGAGCTTGGGTCCCACCCAGCTCCCTGGGGACCCTGGTGGCTCCACTGCCATTGAGGAAACCCAGCCGCTTCTTCATGCTTTGTCCTACTGGGCGCTCATGTCATGTCCACGGAGGGGGTGTTAGGGTCAGCAGTGGGAGAAGAGGTGTGCGGTGTGGAGCTCTTGTTGTTCATCATTCCTTCCCCTTGTCCTGCCTTAGCCTAGGCCAGTGATGGCGAACCTATGACACGCGTGTCAGAGGTGACACGCGAACTCATTTTTTTGGTTGATTTTTCTTTGTTAAATGGCATTTAAATATATAAAATAAATATCAAAAATATAAGCCTTTGTTTTACTATGGTTGCAAATATCAAAACATTTCTATATGTGACACGGCACCAGAGTTAAGTTAGGGTTTTTCAAAATGCTGACACGCCGAGCTCAAAAGGTTCACCATCACTATCCTAGGAGAAGGAGGAGTCCTCACACTTCAGAGCTATGCGATTAATGCAATTAACAGCAATTAGACAGCAAGTCTTGGCAGGCAGAGGTTGCAAAGGAGACAGTTTGATTTGTTGTTGTGTTCTTATTTGGTGACTCTGGGGCTCAGATGTGTGAGGGACAGGGGGGAATTGGGCATTAATTCTGGATTTCATCTCCGGGTGCCTAGCAGGGCTTGTAGAAGGGCTCACCTGGTGGGAACTGTGACGTCCCTGCTTAGTTCTTTAGCAGTAGGGCATGGAGTGGACTTGGGGAAGAGGGAGCATCAATTCCCTACCTGACAGGAGGGCATAACCCTTGCCCTAGCCCTTGCCCCAGCCCAAATGCACACTTAGGCATTTGGGTGACAGGTTGTGTGGCTGCTTTCACCCCTGCTGGCCTCAGGCTCTGGTGGCAGCTTCTGGATCAGAGGCCAGTGATGGATGGAAGGCCACAGAGTCCCCTGGGGGTGGGGGTGGGGGTGGGGTGAAGGTGAAAAACATTATGTCTTCAGTTCATAGATGAGGAGACTGAAGCTTGGGCATGCTAATGTAACCGGGGTCACACAGCTATTGAGTGACAAAGTTGGGGCTAGAGCTGAGTTCTGTAAATGTTTACTTCACACGGATGTCCTTGTGTTGGGAGGCCCTGTCTGTCATATTCAATGTGAGAGCTCTGAACTCCTGAGATGAAAGTCTCTGGAAATACATATATAATAAGTAGGCTGTACCTTGTCCTTGTGTATGTATTGGACAGACTTTCAGATAAGGCATTTATTGGGGAACAAGGGGGTTACAGCAGGGAGGCAGGTGGACAGATGGGAACTAGAAAGGTTCACAATAGGAAGGTTTTTTTTCTTTCTTTTTTTTTTCACCAGAAAATCTCGGTCTATCTTAATTTTCCTAATCTACCTCAGAATCTGGGATTTCATGCTTGTATCTCTCTGATTTCCTTTCTTGGGGCACTGTAGAATATCACTGGGTTTTACCTCTCCTTCCCTGTTACACTTGAAAGGAGGAAAGAGGAAACCTAACTCAGACCCTAGAGGATTTGAAAGGTCTTTAGAATTCCTCCCTCCCCCCCAACGTCATAATCTCTGGGAATTTCCAGAGGAAAAGATCTGATTTCTTTTGATTGTGGGGCCTCACTGGACTCTGGGGCAAGGTCAGGTCGCTATGGTTATTTCGTTTTTAGCTGTTTGGGATTTCAGCCTTGCTGGTAAATTGAGCGTGGCCCTGTGGCCGGTGGTGTGACCACAGAAGGTCACTCACAGACACGGTGGCAGGTGGTTTAATGAGCCTTTCCTGTCTTGCCTTACATCCCTGGAGACCTGACCTTGCCCCTCCCACCAAGGAAGGAGATAGCTAGAGTGGGCTTTCCCTAAACTTGACCTCATAGTAGGTAGACCATTGTAAAGATTTTGGCTTTTGCCCTAGCCATTTTGGCTCAGTGGATAGAGCGTCGGCCTGTGGACTGTAGGGTCCCAGGTTCGATTCCAGTCAAGGGCACATGCCTGGGTTGCCATCTCGATTCCTGGTGGGGGGTGTGCAGGAGGCAGCTGATCAATGATTCTCTCTCATCATTGATGTTTCTATCTCTCTCTCCCTCTCCCTTCCTCTCTGAAATCAATAAAAATATTTTTAAAAGATACTTTTGCTCTTACTACCAATGAAATGGGCATCCCTCTAGCTGCTGTGTATGGAATAGACATCAGGGTGGGGCAGGCTGCAAGCAGGAAGATAGTATTAAAACCCTAAGAAATAGATCCCATTATCACCAATTTACAGAGGTGAGTAAGTTATACAAAGTTTCATGGCTTGTAAGTGCTGGAGCCAGGATTCAAATCCAAATCGTTGAACACCAGAGTCTGCGTTCTGTGGGTCAGATATTTTCTGGGTTCCTAACATAGTGGATTCTGAACCCTTCTTGAGACGCTTGGCTCTAGAAGAAAACTTTTGAACTTGTGAGGTCTCATTTCATTTGTGTGGTTCTTTAAAAGAATAGCATTTAGTCAGAACTCTTAGTTGCAAGTGACAGAAACCCAATTCTGCTGGTTTAAGCCAAAAAAAGGGGTTTATTGGTCATGTATTGGAAAGTCCAGTGACAAACGGCTTCACGTAAGGCTGGATCCAGGAGCTCCAATGATGTCTCTGTGAGTGTGTCTCTGTCTCCTCTTTGTCACCTTTATTCTTAGGCGATTTGCGTCTCCCTTGTTGTAGTAAAGATGACCACTGGCGGCTCCAGGCTGACATCTACCATCTACTTAGCAAACCAGAAAAAAACAGTGCATCTTTTCCCCAGTAATTCCAGTAAGAGTCCCAGTGCTGATTCTCATTGGCTGGACTTGAGTCATGTGATTATTCCTTACCAGTCACTGGGGCACTGATTGGCAGTGCCTTGGTTACATGTCTACCCCTGGAGCTCAAACTGGAATCAGTGCTACTTTAAACCACATGAAATAAGAATAGGGGAGGGGTGGTTTCATGAAGGAAAATAAAAATGCTGGTAGTGAAAACAAACAGATAAGGGTTGCTAGATAGGCATCGTTGGGGGCTAATAGAAACAGCCTGTACTTGTGATTCCCAAACCGTGTCAAGGCTTCCCCATGAAACTGCAGAAACGTCACAGGGGTTCTATGGTCTGATTGAATTTTCAAGGGAAACGCAATGATATCTGTCCCACACCACTGACACTGCTAGCTTGGGGCAGTTCACAGTTGTACATTAGGTCATGCTACATTCTTTTCGATGGTGTCATATCTTTGTAAAGTCGGATTTTCTGTGGTCTCATTAAAATCAAGTGCTATGTGAGAATCACCATGGAACAGGAAATGATGGCAGCCATGTCTAATTTGATGCCAAGGTTTGAGAATTTGTGGGGAGCCAACAGGCACACACATTCCCATTAGTAAATAATTTTGTTTTGTTTGTTTGTTTTCAGAATGAAAATAAATATTTTTTTGCCACTTTCAGAGTGTTTTTCCCCCCTCCAAAAGGCTACTAGGTTGTTAGGACCTAAATACTTATTAGTTATTTGGCCCGAGGACTCTGTGAAAGTTTACTTAGATACTAAGGGTGTGGTAAACCAGAAAAATTTAGGAACCTTTGTTTTGTTTGTTTTTTAATCCTCACCCAAGGATAATTTTCCATTGATTTTTTTTTTTTTTTTTTTTTTTTTTTTTTTTTTAGAGAGAGTGGGAAGAAGGAGGGGGGGAGGGAGAGAAAGAGAAACATTGATGTGAGAGAGACACATCGATTGTTGCCTTCTGCATATGCCTCGACTGGGGCTGGAGATTGAACCTGCAACCC